TGAGAACGTTCCATATGAAGACAATCCAATGTCATATGATTCTGATATTGTAGAAACAGATGCCATCACTGAGAATCATTTACACTCGTGCTGATCTTGGGAGTGGCCGGGGCAGAATCATTTGCACTCCTGTTAGGAGGGGCAAGCTAGTTGAAATGGAAGTTTGTTGAGCGACCAATCGCGATGGCTTGTTTGAGGGCATTGTTATTACGGAAAGTAAGAATCCTACATTTCATCCTCAAGCCTGAAGATCTCTTTGGGGAGATTTGTGGCCCTTTGATACCATTTTGTAATTGTTATCATTATATTGTTGTATGTTTTTTAATTGTACAAATGTAAATGTGAACCATGTTGTTGTTAGAAATGGTTTTGAAGTTTTGGAAAAATCTAATTTTTCCTTAACTTTGGTCTATTTTTTAGGTGGGATCCATACGTCAAAGTTGGTGGGTCAAAGTGGTAACGTGTTCTATACTGCGTTGTGATTCACGTGGTATATTTGGTTGCTCAAAGCCGTTATCAGGTGAATGAAAAATTGAAGCCAAAGTGAGCTCCATGGAAATGGAGTTTTGGTGGAAAATCCTTAAAGGTTTGAATAAAGGCTTGTCCCACGTTGGTTTGGTGGAAAGAAATTTATGAGTTTATATGGCTTGGGATTATAACTTGGGCAGGGCCCCAAGGGGCACCCCAAGTTTGTAGAAGGGAGAGGTTATGGATAAATTGGGCAAGACCCATTGGATCCAAAAATAAACACGCGTGCGCCACCCGCCCAGGTTGGCCTGGGCTTGGGCGCGAGTGCGTGGTGTGAGGTTGGGTTAGGCTTGTCCGGCCCAATACTTATCTTTTTGGGCTAAAAACATTTGAATTCAATTTTATTTTTTGGTAAAATAAAATCTGTCAAGTTTAAATTTTGATTTTTTGAATTCAAATTTGTTGCACCTCTTCAGAATGTTCTGTACAGGTTCACTGTCCAAACGGATCCGAATCTGTCCAGATTCAAACCCAAAACAGTTTTTATCTATTTGAAATTCAAACTAGATCTATTGATCTGTCCGAACAGGTACCATACATGTTGGATTCAAACCTAACAGCCACGATTTTCATCTATAAGTACACTAGTCCTCACTTGTTCTTTTCACTCAATTTTCATCCAAAAAAATTCTGCATTACTCTCAACATTTTGCTGCACTATTTCTTGTGAGAAAGTGTATACACATAGTGTGTTCGTTGTGCAAACAGTTTGTAGTGCTGCTACTGTTTGTTGTTGATCATTTTATCCTGGGAGATAGACATCCATATTCTGAAAGTATAGTGGAGAGGACGAATCTGTCTTAAGGACATAGTGTTAAACACTGGACTTGATCAAAAATTTGTTTAAGAAATTAATCAAGTAAGTTATTAATTTATTTTCTATTTTAATAGTTATTTATATCAAATTTTGATTTTGTTTTTGTAACAAAATAAAAATCTGTTTATTTATTTATTTATTTATTTTTATTTTCTGGTTTGATTTTTGTAATCAAACAAACTTTCTTTTTTCCTTTATTTTTTCTATATTCCATTTGTTATTAAGTACACGGACAAAATTTATATTTTAAATACAGTGAAGATTGTCCAATAGTTGTTAAGTCGTCAAAGAATGAGATATTGTTCTCGCTCTCTCCATTTTTTGTTTTTATTTTTTTGATGCGTTGAGAGAAGTAATCCAATGCAAATTTAATAGATTGAAGATGAACAGCATGCTATTGATGCTTATTGTGAACTTGTTTTGGATTTATGCTCTCAGAATAAAAATGGGTTAATTGTTGTTCCAAAGGTGCTAGTTACCCAACTCTAGCAGTGGCAATTTGTTTAGTCAAGATGAGTTGATGGGTTGAATTTTATTTTATTTTTTGTAGGATTAATTACAGTAAGTCTTATAAGTTTGACATAATTCAACTTTATTTGAGATTAATGTTGTTACCAAAGAAACCAAATTTATCTTAAATAGAAAATCTAACATCAATGTCAAATGAAAATTGTACGGGGAAGAAATAATTTTCCTCGTATAATCCTGTTGACCAAGTCCACGCTACTCCGTACGACGTTGCTTTATCACCTGAAAACACAAACGTGAGCTAGCCGGCGGGTGTGTGCCGGAAACCTCTCCGATGCCTAAGTCAGAAAACTTGACAAATAGACAAAGCTCTATGTTCTCAGAAAAAAGTGTTCAATTACCTCATCCAAGGTGATGCTTGTGAGCTTTTATAGGTTTCGAGTGGCACAATCCTAGTAGGACTTTTATTTCTTCATGCGGAGTCCTCCTAGGATTCATACTCCTAAAAGGATAATGCTTATCCTTTTACACCCCCCCCAACTGCTTAAACCAAGTGGGATGGTTTTCTCCATGGCCAAACTACCATTTGACCGAAGTAAAACTGGCTATGCTGAGCCACGAAGTAAGCCGAACTATCCTTAGTTCAGCCTTTCCCTTTACTCTTCCTTATATCGGTTTCTCATCTGTTCAACCCATGGTGTGTTTGGACCGAACCAACGACTCTCGACCGGTATAACTCCCTGACCGGTACACCTCTAAGGCCGACATAACTTCAAGGCCGGTCTAACTCCAAGTCGCTCCCGGACCCGAAGTATATTTACAATCCTTTAACCGAAGTAACCTTATAATTCCTGAGCCGAAGTAATTTTACCTCCCTGGGCCGGAGTAGCTGGGTATTACCGTCAGTTTGTGAAATATTTCTCCAGATTAGCGTCACCGTTGACTAGACTGACTCGGAAGGGAGTTAAGTTTGTGTGGAGTGAGACTTGTGAAAAGTCGTTCCAAGAGTTGAAAGTTAGATTGACCACCGCTCCGGTGTTGATTATTCCGGAGAGAGGGTTGGGTTATGCGGTTTATTGTGATGCCTCACGAGAGGGTTTGGGTTGTGTGTTGATGCAAGAGGGGAAAGTGGTAGCTTATGGCTCACGTCAATTGAAAATTAAACAAGATACACTAAAATAAAACAAACAGGCATATTGGACATTCAACATTTGGACAAGGTGCGGGATGTATTCGATTTTTTCTAGTGATGTATAACAGCACAAATTTGAAACCCTCCAATTCTAGTTGAAATTATATTAAAAGATGGGTTTTGTTAAGGAGACATTAAATGATCTTAACAAACCCCATTACCATGGAAAATTGAAAAAAATTATAAATATTGTATGTTTAGAGACCAAACTATCATTTTCTTCAATTATCTCTATTTTAATATTTTTATATACTTTTCATAATGAAATATTTTTAAAATATTTTTTTATTATAAAAGTGAAATCCCTTAATTTTTTCAAATGACGTTTTTTTTTAAATTTTTTTTTAAATGTCATTTAAAAATAAAATTTCTTTGTTGATTAATATTATAACTTATACATTTCTTCGAAAAAGACACACAGCGTCCACAAGAGGTAAAGTTGATTTCAAACCACAAGAATAAAATAAATTTTACCTAATTATCTATATAATAAGTCAAGAGTGTTTTTGAAAATGTCTTAAAAATGTATGTGAGATACATTTTGATCCCATGGTTTAGATTCATTCTAATAAAAATCAATGGTTGAGATGTGTTTTCCCGCCCAAACACTCGGTCCTCTCTCCTTCTCCCACCTACCCACGTCTCTACCCATTCCATCTTTTTCTCTCTCTCCCTCTCTGTTGCATATCTCCTCTCATTCCCTCCTTATCTCTATCTCCTTCTTTGTTCCTCTTCTTTATCTCCCGCTCCCGACGCTACCTCTCTCCTTCTCCCCCCTCCTCTCTCAGTGGCTTGAATTCGCAACCCTCCCACTCGCTGCCTTGGACCTCTCCGATTCGCAACCCCGATTGGAGCTCTCCGTTACCACTCTCCCTCACTCCGACGTTCGCAATCAGGACCGCTACCTACCCATCGCCAACATCAGTCGGATCATGAAGAAGGCGTTGCCTTCCAACGGCAAGATCTGGTGAAAATTAGGAAGTCATTACCTGAGATATCTAGCGTATTTCTAGCGTATTTCTAACGGAAGTCATTATCTTTGATACGATTCCCGAAATCTGGTAAAAATTAGGGCTTTTACTCGACTGATTTCGAAGGGGAAAATCTGGGAAAATGAGGGTTTTGATGGTTCGAATATGGTATACGATGGTTCGAAATCTGGTGAAAATTAGCGTATTTCAACGTGGACTTATTAAGATGAATGGTGAATTCTGATGCAGAAAACGAGTTTGATTTTGGATTTTCGTAGGAGGGTTTTGGAACGCGAATAAGTAGCTGCGAATTTTGCTGATGATTCAGAAATTGAAGTCGCGGGAAAGAGAATCGAGGACAAAGAAATTTTGGGGAATTTTGTAACGACGAAGTAAGACTTTTTGTATTTATAGTTGGTTCTTTCAAATTTCTTGCTTTGTGATTAATTTTCTTGGAAATTTTCTATATGGAAAATTTTCTTGGAAATCTTTTATTTCAAACTTTCGTGGAAATCTTTTATTTCAAACTTTCTATATGGAAATTTTCTTGCTTTGTGAAATCTTATACTGTTTTATTTCAAACTATCTTATTCTGTTTTGTTTGGAATCTCTTTCTTCTTCTTTTTATTTATTTTTATTTTTATTTTTTTAGGTTTTTCCTAAACGAGTAATCTTCATTTATTGAAATTTCATTGCTTTTTTGATATTTAAAAAAAAAATTATTTTGTGTTTTTGTTTGATTATATGGCTGTGCAACCTTGATTCAATTGGTTGGAAATTTGGAAGTAACTACAAGTCTTTTCCATGAATTGCCTGTATTGAGGCAAAGGGTATGTAGTACTTTTGGAAATTGAGTGAGAATAGTTAGTGTGCTTTTCCATTTTCACGGATCTAATTTAGTTCTGGAAAATTTGAACTTTGGTCCACCATCCAGTTGTTGAAAATGTGTTTAAAAAACAACAAAAAGAAAAATCTTTATTCACTTTGAATTCAGCCATCGTGTTATGCGGTGATTAATTATCAATTTCCCACCCTAGATGAAGATGATCATTGTACAAAAAAAAAATAAAAAATGCTCGCTGTAAAGATTAGTGGCCAAAAGTGAGGTAGAATAGCGTGATAGGCATCAATTGAATTTCTCGAAATGATTAATATACTACCAGTCCTGGCAATGACTAAATCTCTGCAATTGAACCAAGGATTAGCTTATATTCTTATCTGATTTTCTGTTACTTTGCATAATCATTATGAATTTAAACTGACACCATTTTTTTTTTCTTTTCTATTTTGCCCGGTTCATTTTGGGGAATAATTGTGGTTTCTCAGTTGGAGGTATTTGAGCCAATTTCTTGCCGGAATTACTGTTGTTCCTTATTTTGTTCATTACTGATTCAGGCAATATTTTGTTCACGAAGGGATCTGCTAGCGGAGGTGATCGATCCTCTAAAAGGGATATAGTTGGTGCTCAGATTGATCCAAATATACTGGTAAGGCAGCAAATAGCCTTTTTTATTTTGCCACTTGAGTGTGTAAGTTTAAATGTATTTGTCCTTTTGATCCGGTTGAATGAACTTCAAATCACAATTTCATTTTGTTGTCTTCTGTTTGCATCTGTGGTGGATAATTTGGCAGTTTGCTCATCAACAGTCCTTCCGAAGTGTGAATTCCAAGTAAGTCTATTTGTGTCAGTGTTATTAGCCTAATCCAAATGTAATTCTTGCTAAGTGAGCATCAACTTAGAAGTGGAGCAATTATGTGGAGATTTTTGGATACCCATGAAAAGTCACATTTTACATTATCATTTCACGCATTTCCAGCCGTCCCCACTTAAACAGTAAAGAAAATAATCAGGGAACCTCTTCATAGTGGCCCTCTAACTTCATGTTAAATTGCCTGCTTTGAACTTTCTCATTATCCACTGACCCACTAATAACTTATCAGAGTAGCAAAGGTTTGTAATTATACGATTTTTATCATATTTGTTTTTAAAAAAAATAAATGATAAGCATAATTTTATAATAGACTCTTCATTTCTTAACGATAAACATGATGAAATTAATTAACTTATTTTATCAAATTCAAACCAGTGGTAAACCCTACGAATCAAATTATGCCTTTCCAGTTAATATCAGGACTGAAGTGAGCTGCTATGGGTGTAATTTTGTGTTGTTACCTTGAAGGAACATCTCAAATAATTGATTATTATGCATATACAATTATGTCATATTTTATCAAATTGAAACCAGTGGTAAACCCTACAAATCAAATTACACCTTTCCAGTTAATACCGTGACTGAAGTGAGCTGCTATGGGTGTATTTTTGTGTTGTTACCTTCAAGGAACATCTCAAATAATTGGTTGTTATGCACATACAATTATGTCATATGGCTTGCTTGCATAATGTTTGAAGGGCCACCACTTTCATGGGCCCAAATTGAGAGCTTAACTCAGAAACTTTTATATTTTTATCATTGAACAAAATTGTTTTCATCATCTAGAACAAAATTATTTTGTTCTCATAATTTATGTATGCTCGACAGATTGGATTCAATATGTACAGATTTTATTTCCATACAATGTATGTATGGTCGACAAAATTATTTAGCATAGAGCATAAATTTTTTTTCTTAATAGTCTCTACCATTTCTACATCCAAAAACTACTCTCTTAATAGTATGGTCGACCATACATACATCCAAAAACTAGAGTGAATTTGTTTTTTAACATCAAAATAACTATCAAAAATAAAAATTTGACCTAATTCTGTTGTATGTGTATTTTTTATTTTTATTTATTTATTTATTTTTGTTCTAATTTTGTTTCCACATTATGTCATTTAGTTTTTACTACTCATGAATTGGTGTGTATTGTTTGGTTAATTTTATTTTATTATAATTGCAGATCATTAGTTTACCATTTTAATTTTAATGAACATTATAAATTTTATATGTTTATTCCTTAATTTGCATTAAGACTAGGGAGAGTTGTTATTTTTAATTGAATTCTGTAGAGGGTATGGTATAAGCAAAATTATTAAAAGTTCTTTAAGAAGAAAAAATGTTACAGACTCCACATGTTTTAATATGATACGTATATAAATTACAAATATATTTCGATCTCAATATTATTTACACCGTGCCTTTAGGCACGGGCATACACTAGATGATGGAAAGGTGCTCCTCCGCTTGGCACATCTATATGAGGTAAAAATCAATCCCGTGATCCCCTTCATATTCCCATTAACGAAAATAAATAAATAAATAAAACTAATTTGGATATATTTACAACTCAAAAATCAAGAAAACGACCTCTTTTTTTTTCCTGCAAGTGTTATCTCAACCACTTCTGTCAATTCTATGATTCCTCTTTTAGCTCTTTTCCCTAGGCCTACATCTGTTGTGGCCTTCCTTTATAGATTATAATTTATAGCTATCTGTCCGATGCATTTCTGTTTTAGTATGTTGAACATAAAGTTTTTAAATTAGGTTGGTACGTTGCATTGTAGCTGAATTTGAGAAAAGTTTAAATTGCAGTTGATCTAAGAAGATAAATAGATTTTTCGTAAAGAATCTATGAAGATTTCTGGACCAGTCTATGATACAATGAGCCTTTCTTTTCAACTCAAACTACTGGGTGTTCGCAAATTATAGGACAGAAGTGTTGTTTTAAGTGTTGATTGTACCTTGAAACTAGATATTTATGTGATAATGTGGATCTGTGAAGTGATATCTTAGATTTCGTAAATATCTGACACTTTGCCAAATTGATATAAGCAAATTCGTTCCACTGACTGCACTGCACATTTTAGTTCTCTCATCCATTTTTTCCCATTATTGTCCTCTCATTCACTTCTTTCATGCTGCAAATGTGGTTAGGCAGGGGAAGATGCCGAGTACTCAACATTAGCCGAAGTTGAACTGAAGAAGATGTTTGCTGGAAAAGTGGTATGTACAAGACTATCAATTATATTTTTCATTTTTTCTCCTGCCCACATATTGTGCTAATGTGTGCCTAGATTATGCTTCATGATACTTTCTTTTTGATCTGGAAACTTGAGGTCCAGTCACAATTACAATTTGTGGGTCATATATTTGCACAATATTTAGTGCCTATTTTCGATATTTAGTTTTCATACCAATGAGATCCCATAGGGACCGGATAACTGACTTTTAAACAGTTGTATCATAACAAGACAAGAGGTTTTTTGAAAATGTCTTAAAATGTATGAGAGATACATTTTGAATCAAGGGCTGAGATGAGTTGTTTTTAACCTTTGAGAGCTGGGATGTTTTGTAATATTTTCAATTCCCGCCCAAAACAATCCCCCCTCTCTCTCCTGTGTTCCATCCACTCCAAACTCTCTGTCCTCAGAGATCTCTCTCTTCCTCTCCCTCCTCTCCACCGTCGAGTCGTCTCCACCGTCGTGCCGCTTCCGATCTCCTCTCTAACTTCTCAGGTCTCAAACTCTCTGTCCTCAGAGATCTCTCTCTTCCTCTCCCTCCTCTCCACTGCCGCTCCGCTTCCACCATCGCGTCGTCTCTACCGTCGCGTCGCCTCCGATCTCCACCGACAACAACTACTGCACATGAGTTGCAGTGAGAAGAACAGAGGAGGAGAAGAGGGGGAATATGAGAAACCAGTTATAGCGACCCCGGTCTTTTCTCTTTAAATTATTGTATCCGGACTTAGGTTCCGTGGATCCTGTCATTACTTATTGGTTGTTGTTGTCCTTTAATCTCTTTGTATTTGAAGTATAGGTTGTGTTGGGCGGGTCTGTTACAGGTTGGTTTATTTTAGATGCCAATAGGTGATGCTCAGATTTTGGCCTTCACGCTCGAGCGGAAGTTTTAACGCTCGAGCGGTCCCTTCGTTGTTGCTTCTCCGCTCGAGCGGGATACGCAGGAAGATTTTGATAATTAGACTTATACGCTACGCGA